GTTTCCAGGACAACTGACCTACAAACACAAATGCATAAGTACAAACACAAATATAACTGTAAATTAATATATAAACATAAACGTATACATACAGGGAGAAGGAGAGAGAGAAAGAGATTCAAATGGCACATCACACTCCTTTGAGTTTTTCATCTTTCCTAGCAGGATGTTTCTTTGATTCAGGTTCCTAAGAAGCACCTCTCCCCGGCCTGACAGATAAGTGAGGAAACCTGCATGGTACCTGCATAAGCATTTATTTTTTCTTACAACTCATGTCTTCTGCAAGAAAGAGTCAAACCAAGTCGTGAGAATAGAACTTGAGGACAGATTTGCTATTCAGGAGCTACAGGAAAAAAACTGACAAGCTTTGTGATGGGAAGGTTTGTTAACCCCTTTGGAGAGCTATAGCATGTGAAAAAAAGCAACCCAGAATGTCTGGCTAGGAAAGGCAGGGCAATAGGGATGTAGAATAACTCTCTGATGCCCGATGGAAGTATCGTTTTTGGAACAGGCAGGATACCCATCAGAACCTGGAGAAACAGAAAAGAAACTGCTCTGTTACAGGCTCCTGTGAACTAGCAACTGAAAAGATGGCCATAATCGAACAATAAACAGCACCAGTTTTATTCTTACATGACAGCATGGTTTAACCTGAAAGACTTTACAGATGAGCCCCTTCCTCAGCCCAGGTACACAGACGGCTTTCTTCCCAGAGCAGCGAAGACCCGACATGGCTGCATCACCGTCACTATGACAGACCAGCACGGGGCCTGACCGGCCCGTGAGATGGGCACGCACACTCCCAGCTAAAGCAGGCAGTGCAAACTGCTTCACTGCTGGCATATCAGATGCTAACTTACACACATGAGCAAGACACACATGCTTTCTGGAGTGGCCGATTCAGTGCAGGTACACAGACATTCCTACTGGTACCAAGCTATGGCATATTAAAGCAATAAGTGAGAACATATGCAACAATGAAATGCACCACTGCTGCTGGAGGAAGATAAAATGGAAAGCTGTGCAGCGCTTGGCTGAGTGAGGCTGACTAATGACTCTAATGTTAGTGGCTGCTGATCAAGAAATCAAACACAGTAGTCTATCATAACCACGGCAGGTGAGGGAAGACGAGCCAGAGCGAGAGCTCAGGATACCAGAAACCTTCCTTGCTGTTCCAAAAACCAGTTATATCTTCTGCATACAGAAAAAAAAAAAACCCAGCTTGTTTCAATGCATAGTCAAATTCATTAGAAACCCCCTGAAATAGAATCCTTTGTTACACGGTTTGTTGCCAGATGATAAGGACGTTTTTGGGCAGCGTGTTCTCAGGAACACAAATGGAAAACGACGTGATGGACACAGCGTGTCAAAATAACAATCCTCATTTAAATCTTCACGTTAGAGACATCTTACATCTCAAATGTCAAACATGCAAAATGGATTGCCTGCAGAAGCCGATTCAGGGAACATCAATTGTTCTGAATTTAGAGTATTAACATGGGAAAAAAAAAAAAAAGAAACCACTTCAAAGTGTATCAAAAATCTTTACAAAATCTGACGCTTTCTTCTTGCTATTTCTTTACCTTTGTTCGCACTTCAAGGCCAGATCCCTTTGTCACTTGGACCACAACAGCTGATCTGACATTTCATGGTGTGCACTCGACATGACTGCCTATCCTGACTTGAGGGACAGTTCCTGCTCCTTCCCAGCAAGGCTCTGAGTAGGATCATACCACTGTTAGTGTTCAAGAAAGTATTGGATCAGGCTTCAAACAGAAAACTTCTGAGAAAAGAAATAAGCACATCTGTTGTGTAATCCCAGAAGAAAACAGGAATTGGACTCTGCTTTCTAAATGTCTCACCCAATCCTGCAGATCAACTATATTTATTCGTACAATGCAAACATCAGAAATGCCAGGGCTCTGATCCTCACTGATACCAGGGTACTTTTTTTTTTTTTAACACTGAAAATCTTTAATGCCTTTGGAGATCTGGGAGGAAGTATTCAGGTACACCAACGACAACACCAGTCATGGGGTTATTAGTTATTAGCCTTTTCTTTTAGAAAACACACAGAGACACAAACCAAACCCACTATTTACTGAAGACAGTGTCAAAGGAAGCCTTAAAGAGTGTCAGTGTCAGCAAGGACTAAATGAACTTGCAGTTTCATACTGATGAAGAGTCCTGCAATCTTATGAATGCACTGAACAAACGGATGGATACAAACACCATCAACGTAGACCAGTTTGCATGCCTTGCAAACCGGACTGAAAGAGAAACCGTGGTTGCAGTACATGGTTTGGAAAGCTGGTTACTAAACCAAAATCTGTATTAAACCAACAGAGATTTTTGAAGATGTTGGCTCACTGGTCTGACTTGCCCTTCCTTCTGAAAATATACCTTAAATTTTCTACGGCTATTAAGTTTCCATCATAGATGCTTTCAAATCTCAATTCTACATACAGACTTCCTGATCTTTTTCATCAATAACACTCACACGTTCACTCTTCCCATTACCATAACGATGCTGGCATATCACTTAAAAGCCATAAAATCACATTGTATTTCTACAGGCAAGCATAACACAAGAGCACACAACAGCCCAGCCAAATGCTTTAGCAAATCCATCCAGGTGCTACTGCTTCAGAGGCCCATCAGCAAATCAGTGCAGTGTGGCTATAAAGTGGATGCTCTGCTCTCCTAGATCACTGCCTTCAAAGCATGTGTTCCCAGCGAGAGAGGTAAGTGTTTGCTGTTTGACGTTGATGTCTCTGCATTTTAGGGCATGTAATTCATAATTTGCAGGAGATACTTAGGCAGTCACATTGTCTCAATGCTCCTGATATTTGTCAGTAAGGTTTGGGCGCCCTCCTCCTTGTGTTCCTTGTCTCATCTGTCTTGGACAGTTTATGGACAGTTGGACAGTTTATGCACTGTTGAGTTGGAGAGTTTCTTCACTCAGGTTCAGAATTAGATGGCTACTCTCAGGATCCAGCTACTTATGTGCATCAGATTTCAAGTGCTAAGTGCTTGAGTTTCGACCTTATTCACTTCTGATTATTCCAACTCAGTGCCAGTATAACTCTGGCAGGAGCTTGAACACAAACCTGAGAAGAGCCCATGGTAAATCAGGCCCTGTGCTGCTGAAAAAACTCTCTTATCCCAGCATTACAGGGATGAGATTCCTTATTCTCTATTAAAAATATCTACAGTTGAATTTCCAGAAGAGTTTTGCACTTGCAGCTTCCATACTTTAGGGAGTCCATGAGCTACCACCAATGAAAAACATGTCTAAGAACTTGCTGAGGTTTAATCTCTTAGTTCAGTCTTATCTCATAAGTGATCATTACCTCCAGAACAGAAGATACTCAAATAGTTGAACAATTCATGTGAAAAGTAACACGATGATTTCACATATAAACTGAAAGTAATGAGGTGTGCAAAACCTTTCAGGTATAAAAGACTAAAACCCTGATTTCAGGAATGAAAGCTTTGGCTGATTAATTTTCCTTCATCAATAAACTATTTCTCAGGGCTGAGTGAAATAGATATAAAACATCTGCACTTCGAAAACAATGTGAGGGGAGCAGGGCATGTTATCCAGGAAAACTGATTTCCTAAGTAATTACTTTCCTGCTTATTGAGGTTTCAAGCTGAGCAAAGGGTCAGTGACGAAGGACTGTGCTGTCTTGTAGTAAATAAGGTTAATGTTACCGTAAGCTCTGTTTTGCAGTCACAGGGCATGAGAATGAACCTAACTGCAATTTGCAACACTTGCTCAAATATGGACTGAAATATTACTCTCTGTATGAAAGACGGATCCTGTGAGATGGCCCCATCCAACCGATCACTGAAATGTGATCAGTCTGTCTGTGTCCTTTCACCTCCCAAAGACCACTCAATCCTTTCAGTTGGGTATATTTTTTGAAGTGCTTGGATTGACTTCTCAGGACCTGACAACTCAAGCTCTACACTGGAAAGGAAGTACATCAGCTTCTCTGCCAGAGCCTACATTGGGACCATAAGTTTTAGCTTACTTTAGGATGGAGCTGATGTACATCAAAATGAAGGTGACTTTAAGGTGGTAATTTGTGTCCTTGCTAAGAAATCTCAAAAATAGGGCAGAGCAACCTAAACTGCATACCTGGGCTTTGTATTTTTTAGCATTTATTTCAACAGTTGCTAACAGTACTACACTTCACCCAGTACAGTATATCTCAGAGGACTTGTTAGACAAGCGTCTGCACTGGAGATGAATGGCTAGGACATGTGAATTTTCAAATGAAGGGGAAATAAAGACCATTTCTTAACGGATCCTGTTTTCCCACTGTAACGATTCTCCAACACATTATCACAATTCCTGAAACAGTATGTCCTTAGTATTTGTGTAAGGTAAAATGTTCTGTTATAGAGAAAAATAGAACTACATTCTGATTACATGGTCCAGTTCAGTTTTAAAATTCATCCAGTAGAAAAACTCAGAACATGTGCAAAGTTCTCGAAAAAAAGAGCAATTCTTGAACAAGGCAAGGCTAACACATCTCCTACTAGTGCTCCCAGGAAGCTCTGGTTGGGCTGATGGCCAAGATCTCTGCCTACAGACCAAAAGTGAAGCCAGCCTCTCTGTAATCAAACACAAAATAGCTTTTTTTTTTTTTTTCATATACACAATGTTTCACTGGCTTATTACTCATGCCAGGGCTCACTGGAAAGTAAAAGCATAGATGAAAAAGATCCTTCTATCCTAGCAAGGGCCATGATGTGAACTTGAACCACACATTCACAACTAGAGCACACGCACTTCTGCGTACAACGTGGTGCAGCTCTGAGATGCGACACATGCATCCACAGCTTTGCAGAGCCATCTGTTTTCTTCAGTTTAATTTTGCTATCCTTGTACAAAGCCTATAGTCTTGCTTCACTTAGAATTCCCCCTCAGCAGACAGCCGAGACGGAAACATCGCTAGTACCAAAGTGACAGCACGTGGGAGATTTACCTGATGGGAGCTGACTCATCCCCTTTATCAAGCCAGTCCTGCGGTGGGATTATGTACATGCACCAGAGGCCCCAGTTATAGCCGTGGGCTGCATTGGCGTATTGCTGCACTTCAAAAGTGTTGTACTTGATATTGTCAATTGCTGGTAAGATGATCCGCTTTCGATCTTCTTTGATCCGGGTAAGTGCAGGTTCCACCCTGAGAACAATAAAAACAGCAAAATGTTTTACAGCCATCCAGTAATCCCAGGTCCTGCTTTGCAGTCTGATAAAACAAAGTTCTCTAATACTGAGAGCAGCAACCCAGCGAGATGGCAGCCGATCACACAGCATAGAGGGATCAAATACAGATCACTGTCATAACACTGAAGAGGCTGGAGCTTGATGTGGGATACTTTACACAGCAACAGCACATGAATTATTACCTTTACAAAGCTGTGCCAGAGTTTAACAACACAAAATTTTACCTAACGCTTACCCTGAGACCTGGAGACTGTCAATTCATTTTGCGATGGAAAAGCATTGGGAGACTTATTGCCAAGACTAACTAAATGGTCTCCTAACGGCTGCACCACCAGCATGCTGGTAGCGCTTAAATACCTAGTCTTGCTGACAAGGCCTGAAGAATAAAACACACACCAATGACTGAATGAATCCGAAGGTTACTCAAAGGTTTTAATCTTGTTTCCTAAGGACTGACCCCATCAGATCTAGTTTGACTGACAAGCGTGCCTGCATTATGCCCTCTAAAACCTCTTTGGTGGTGAGAAGATTTCAGTTGCCAGATGGTGCAAAAGCAGCGAACTGCAGGAAATGTGCCTTCATTTCAGAAGGCTTTAAAACATCAATGTTCTTTCAACAGAAGCTACATCCCGAAGTGTTTCAGGAAACTGAAAGGCTTCAGTGCAAACATTCACTTCTAAGGAAGGTAGTCTGAAGTTGCTATGAATTTACAGAAGAACTGATCCAAAGAAGTAGCAGACTTACATAAGGGTGGAAAGAACTTCTCAAAGCAGCATTAGAAACTGCCACTGGTTCACTCCTTTGTAACTGTGTTTCCCCTTGAAATAAGCTTTGAAAATTTTGGAGAGCTCTTATATGTATCTTGAAGGGAACGGTGGTTTGCTGCGATTCACAGAGGAGCAGGTTTTGAACACTGATCTTTTCTCATTTTTCTTTTGTTGTTAGTCAAAAGGCAGTTGTTCCTTTGTGGTTCCAAGTTTGTTACCTTACATTTTGTTTGTCATATTTAGTTTGTTACCATGTATTTTCTTGTGTAGGCCAATGAAAGGGACAAGTTATGAAATTAATTCAACCTCCATTTTCAATCTTCACTGCCTCGATCTGAACTATCATAAATTTTCTGATCTCTTCTGTAAGAAGACAGCAATTTCTCTGTACTTGAACATGGCCAAAATATTTGTCTTTTATATACACAGACTCCGTGCTTACATGAGGTCACGCACTGCTTGCTTTCTCTTCTTTTTACCCTTCCCACATCAGTAAAAAGATACATAGATTCAGTGAAACCCTTGAGTATTGATGATGATGATTGCTTACTGCAAATAAACCATCACAAAACAATGTAAAACAAGAGTATAACTGACAAAAAGACACGGTGTCACAGCATTTCATTTGGAGAGAAGTCAAAGAGAGTTAAACTAGTTTTATTTGGATTCCTCTAGAAAAATGATATTTGACTTTATCAGCTGGATGCCAGTAACACAGAGCATGGAAGTTTTAATAAAAAGGATGATCACATGCATGGTGGGAAGAGAAGCAGCACATTGAAAGTTGCAGAAATTCCCCCTGGCCAGGAAGGTTATGAAAGAGATGTTCATCTCATATGCAACATGTACTGTTTTGCTACTGTAATTGATTTATTCTAGGAATAAATCAATGCATCCCTCATGACTGGAATGGCCTGAGGTCTCTCTTACTACTGCCTGCCGCCTGTAATTTTTCGTGCAGTACTTCTGTGGTCTAAGCTCAGTCCTGCAAGGTACCAAAGACCTCCACAGAAACATGAAAGTGCAACAGCCATGAGGAGGCACAGTGATTTCAGCTCAGCTTGTTAGATACCTTTTTGGCTTTAAAATATTTCCTTAGTTGGCAGGATCATACGTTGCTTCTTTCCCCCCCTTTTTTTTTTTCGCATGGCATTTAAAGAACTACACCCCAGTCTCAAAGATTTTTTTTTTTTTTTCTGTAGGAGAGACAAGAAACAACTGAGAGAAATTCAGGACTGTACATGATTCAGAAAGTCCACTTGTACGGTCTTTAGGCCACACTCATGCACCCACATAAAGAGGCAATGTGACCTACCAAACCAGGATAAGCCACTTTCGTTATTAATACAAGATTGTTTTAAAAAACAGTGGGTGGAGGCAGAAAAACTCTTTCCACTCCAGTAACGCAGGGAAGAGTGTAGATGAGATGAATCTACTTTGTTCTTTCCATAATGTTATCTCTGCTTATGAGCCTAGAGGCAGTAGAAGAAAATACAGCAAAACAACAGAGATGTCAAACAGACACTCCTCTCCCGTCATGAATCAGGTGCCTCCAAGCATGGCTGTGGTAACCCCTGTGCATAACATCAGCAGGAGGCTCTCCAACTCCTTTCTGTTCTCTGAAACGAAGGCTTTCAAAATACCAAACAACAGGTATAGGTGTCACTCCTAACAGGCCACTAATCTTTTGACTGAAAGAAGAATCCTCCTCTTGATCATGGAGGAAAAAAATGACCCTGGAGCAGGTCACTGTCCATGTGGAGCACTTCCAGCAGAAGCCTCCTTACAAACCTGACTCTGAGTTCCCTTGCAAACCAAACACCACCTTGGGAGGTGGACCATTCCTGAAGCCCTTGGTCATTATTTCAACAGATTTGGTGCAGTGAGGAAGTCACAGAGCTGAGGGATTATATTCTCCAATGAGATCTGGTGGACATCACAGGGCTCAGTTGCACCCAGTGACTCCCATAGCATGTACAAATTTATTATGTTTGGGTCTGATTTCCAGATCTGCCCTGCAAAGCAGGAAAACTGACTGCATGCCTTCTGAAGCAGAAAAGTGTAAATGGATTTCCTTAGTAAGAATTAAATTCTGTCATTCTTATTCACTACCATCTGATCCTCACAAGCAAGGAAAGACTGGAAGTTTTCAAAACTATTTTTATCTCTCTTGGTTAGAGTTCTTTGGTCTCCAAATCCTCAAAAAAATGGCCTCAATTATTGGGATGTTTATGTTTCTACAAAGCAAGATGGTCTAACTATCATACTTAAAACTATCCTGAAGTTTCCATATTCCTCCTACAGTTCCTCCTTGTGTGCTCATTTTGCAAGTATTTTACTTTCAAGGGTAGATTGAGATTGTGTAAGGAAAAAGCTAAAAGAGATAAGGAATTATTCTCCCTTAATGTCAGATGTCTGCAATAGACCCCCCACATCCAAGAAAATTGCCTCAAACTTTCATTCTCAGCAGACAGAGGCAGAGGCTGGCAGTTTTATAGTAAGATAGTAAGATGCTTCTCATAATAATGTAGACACTGAATATACGTGAGATGAATAAAGTTCCAGAGGAACTTACTTTGAATATAAAGAGAATTTAGCCCACTACTTTGCCAGACAGCTTAAAATTGGACTGTTGAAGTGTATCTCCAATAACGGTTAGAGAAAGAATGTGAAGAAAATATTTAACAGTCACTCTGATTTTCAGCCTTCAATCATATTTGTGATTGTATTCATCTGATACTTGTGTCTTGGAAATGCTAATCTGGGTCCTCATTTTCTTCATAACAAGAACAATCCTGTCCCAGCTCTGGTGCTGCTGTCACACCAGCCGTCACCAAACTACTCCCATCACTCTACAGTTGACTGAATTCCTGCGTTTTTTCAGTTGTATGGCTTACATTTATTACCACCTGACTTCGTGCTTTGCAAATGAATGGCACAAGAAGGGATCTCTGAAGTGTAATACAACAGTCAGATCGAAATACGTGATGAAATTTCATTAGTCTCTATCAATCTATTAATTTGAAATCTCAGATTTTGAACTTTCACAAAAGCTGTCCATGCAGTGGAAGTTCTGTTTCAGTCCCTTGCACTTAAGAAATGTAAATTTTGAAGATACTACTGCTTCAACAAGTGTTGATATCTCTATCCTCAGGTTACAGATGAAGTAAAATGCCACAGCAAGGTCATGGAGTGAATTGGTATGAAAGCAATTGCTGGAACTTCATTTTCTCAACCTCTCATCCTCCCCAGTGGATGTGACTTTCTTCCTCTATATCTACTTGTGTGGAAATCACCTCCCCACATGTATTAGGAAGAGGAAAGGTTCAGTATCTGGACAGACTGCATGTTTATCTAACTTCCAAAATATGTTCACTCCCAAAAGTAAGAGAGCGGGCTCTGAGTCACAGATGGAAAGAGAAAATCCAGTGCAGAGCTGTTCTCTGTTACTCATAACAGAGAGCCTTTTTAATTAGACATTGTACACCCGTGAGATTTCACAGCTTGACTTGCCTGATCAGGGACAGCAGAAATAGCAAGGGGGTATTCAGATGCCAAGCCCTAGCTCATCTCAGTGAGATCTACAGGAACATTCAAATCCCAGATTCTGCCAATGCCCTCTGCACCACCGACACGGCCTGTGCTCTATTTTTCTGCCTGCCAAGATCCCTAGGTAATGAATGGCCAATGAAGGACGACTACAAGCTTCAATGGGATTGGGTAATGGACTGTGTTTACATTGCTTATCTTAGGTAATCCATGAAATATGAGGGATTTTTTATTGCTATTCATTGCTAGCAAAGTCCAGCCTTGGAGTAGCTCTATTAGGCTCAATGGACTTACACAATGCCTTTGTCTCTGTAAGCTGAGCTGCACATCCATCAAATCCTTTGTCAACTTTGCTGGTAATTTTGGTTTTGTCTAATTGCTTCAGGTTTTTGAAAAGATTATGATTAAATCTTTCCTAGTAATTTCTAATTTTTTCCTAATTTTAAGCTGCTACATTATTATGCAGATTTACTCATCCGCTTTATAGACACCAGCATTCTTTCCCTGGGTTTTTTTCCCCTGGTCTTGTTTTTTCCACTGTGCACTGTAGAAGTCAGGTGCTCCTGGCAGCTCCCAGGACTAAAAGGACAAAGCAGAAGAGGTTGCTGAAGTCCGAGTATGTTCAACAAGCTGTGCTGAT